AGTTGTATTTGCCCCTCACTGCCAGCAATTATATATATATATATATATATATATATATATATATAGTAATATATGACGTCCGGAAGGTTTGTTCTGTTTATTGATTTTACATTCAAATAATTTCTTTGCATACTCACCCCTTAACAGTCTGTTAGGCCATAATGGTGTCATTGTAAAGAAAACTGAGATGGTCCAAACTTTGTGTTTGATCCTTAGCAGTTCTGGATACATCATCTGGAAACCATGAATTTAAATAAAATTGTACAGCTTTCCGTCCAAAGGTTTTTGAGTTATCTCACTAAAGTGGTGGACCAGGCCGCTGACAGACATAGCAATGAAAAACTGAGCATAACACTGGAGATAAAACAGAAAGTTTTTAAATGTAGTAAAGATGGACTGTTGTTCAAGTATAATTTATGTTTATTACAATGAGCTCAAAGTTATCTTTATTTATCACAGAAAAATCTTAAAAGAGAAAAAAAGCTTTGCAATGATCCTTTGAGCATATTGGAAGTGAATAGAGCAGCTCTACCAGTGAGAAGTCTTTCAAGATACCGGGACAGAATGACCTGTGAAAGAATAAACCCTCATTAAGTCCTGGATAGGGATTATCACTCTTCAGCTACAGACTGACTGGGACCGTAAAGAGCTTTAGAGCATCATTTCCTGCAGTCCATTTACTCTTACACATCTCCTCTGCTGTAGGACACCACACACTGTGCTGCCTGATTATTCCTGATTTTGTCTGCCTGTCAGTCTACATCTTTATTTTGTCCCTCACATTTAGAGTATCCCTCCTCTCCCTCACTGCTCTTTTCCCTTCTTTCTGTCCTGCCACACACTTCAATCTCTCTCCTCTCCTTCTCTCTCTCTCTCTCTCTCTCTCTCTCTCTCTCCGCAGCCTTCAGCCTTGTTGTTCATTCCCTCTGCCTCCCTCAACACCTCCTCTGCTTTTTCTTTCCTTGTCTCTTCCTCTCCACAAACAACCCATTCCTTTCCTTCAGATCTTTCTGCTGTAGCACCGAGCCACCTACCCACGCACTTTTTCCCCCTCCGTCCATCTTATTCTATTATGTGTGACCTCTCTCTCTTTTTTCGCTCTTACTCTCACCCTCTCATTCTTTCTCCTCCTCCTCCCATCTCTCTCTCTGAATATTTCATGATTTGGTGGCACAGTGCTGAGGTGAGGAGCCTTCCTCTGTCTAGAGCTTGCACAGCACAAATATTTACTCCCCGAGCTGAGCTTAGTCAAGTGTTAGGACAGACTAAGAGTGCGTGTGTGTGTGTGTGTGTGTGTGTGTGTGTGTGTGTGTGTGTGTTATGAGTAACAGTGATTACATGTGACATGGGCCCCAGAGGGGAAAGGAGGTCTTTGGTCTCTTCCATTGATGTTACTGCTCCATTGCACACTCTCTGAAGTCTTCTAGGATAGATAGATAGATAGATAGATAGATATGAAGAAGAATAGATAGATAGATAGATAGAGTGAATCAGGGGTTGGTCTTGATATAGAGATAGGATAAACATATAAGGAGCGTCTAGATAAAAGTAGGACAGAATAAAGGAGGAAAAAGGAAGGAAAAGGAGATGAGGAGGGCAACAGCAGAAAATGTGGGAGAGAGAGAGTGGGGAATCTCACAGTGCCTGTGCATTGACAAATGTCTGTTCTGTTTTGGCTGGCGAGAATGGAGCTCAATTGCAGGTCTGGAGGAACATCAAAACACAATTAAGGGCTGACATGGAACTGGTCATGCAGAAGAGTGAGGACAGGGGATGAAGAAGCGGAGCTAGAGGAAGGAGGAGGAGCGCTCTGTAAAGGGAGAAGGACAAGAAAGTGAGATATTTGGGAAGCAGACAGAAAAACACAGTTAAACACATAATTGTATTTTATTGGATATGATTAAAGGAAAAGTGGGAAGGAAAGTGAGAGATAAGGGGAAAAGTACAGTCACTTAGAAAGGGAGTGCGAATGGAAGGGGAGAGGTTATATTTAGGTATGGTTATATAAGTTTGTTACTGACTGGTCCTGTTCATCATATGAATAAGAATTTCTTGTGTACAGGAATTATAATGCATTTAGAGAGGCTAATTTAATTTTCAACTAAGTGATTCTGTAATTTACTATTCATGAACTTGTTTGAAGTCAGTGTGCAGACACCACCGCCAATTTTGAGTTGTGGCTTCAAGTCCAACTGAAGAAAATTAGCTATGGGTTTTCAGACCAGATTTCAGTCCCTGCGTCTATGTGTGATCGTTTGGTCTATCACTTGGATTCAGATGTAAATATCTCAATGTCTATTGAATGGATTGCCAAAATTCTATACAGACATGCATGAGCCCCAGAGGAAGCCCATTGACTTTGATGATGTGTCCCTAGCAGTCCAGAATATGACTTTGTATAATAGCCTACTTTGATTTATGAACAAATATCTGCAAAACCAATGGCATTCTTATCAGCCTTAGCTGTACTTGTTTAAAGCATGTTTAAAGCTAATAAGCATATGTTACCAACAGCAACAGAAGCCTCGCCAATGTTAGCATTGTAATCGTATGTTTTTTTATGAATTTAGCTCAAAACACAGCAGTGTCTAAGTGCAGCATCAGACCAGCTCGCATGGCTGTAGATTCTTACTCTGGTTATTTACTGGTGGTTCTATACAGCTTTCATTTGTTAAAGAGGGAGTTAGGTCTGGGAGGCAATTAGCTTAGCTTAGCATAAAATAGCTAGCCTGGCTAACCCAAAAGTGAAAGAAGTATGCCTACCAACATCTCTAAAGCTCACTGATAGACCAAAACCAAAAACCTGTGCTCACCAACCACATCTGGCAACCCGCCCAATGGCAGGAGACACTGTACAAAATGACTGGGTGAACGGATAAATTGGTCGTATTTCTTAAAATAAACTATTCTTTTAAAGTGGTAAAGCTGTCAGGGTGTCTGTGTTCACATGAGCAGTCAGCGTGCATGTGGACTCCTTTACCTATCTGAACGTATATATTGTGGTTCAATTCCATTCAATTCCAACCAAAGTTCATATCACCTCTGCCCTTCTTTCGTTTTTGAATATATTTCAATATATTTTAGAGCTTGAACTTTATTTTATTTGGGGTCAGCAGCCTCTTACAGTTACAATTTTCCTTCAACAATGCATTATAATTGATACGCTTGAAAAACCTGAATTTGAACTCTCAAGTAACTGTATGGTAAAACTGAGAATGTTATCTACCTAAAAGCACAACAGCTTGAAAGCTGTGAAGTCAGCAGAAAGAATCCTAACTTTAACATTACAGTCGAGTGGACTAAGTCTACCTCTACTGTGACTATTAGCCACAACTTTGCTATTAAATGGAACAGTGAGCATTGAACAGCTCAGAGCTAAAAGAAAATGGGCCATATGAAAATTAAGTCATGTGTATGTTGAGTTTAATATCCATTCTAGGCTCGTTCTGCCCTTTTTGCAAGCGTGTAGTGTTTGATTGATAAACTTTATTTTCCCTCAGGGAGAAGTTTCATTTTAGTCAAACGCGAAAAGGTCACAATTAACATTTTGTTGATGTTTTTGTGATCCCCAGGAAGAAAAGCTATAACCGTGAAAATAAATAAAGGGAACCAAATAGATACACACTAAACAATATAGATACATTAAAATCTCTTCTAAGACATGCAAAACAGGGCACTCAGTCATCCTCAACACATTGTCAAAAAGGAAATATCACAAAGTGCGCAAACAAGGTTAGTCATGCTCTGAGTTTGACCTTATGCTCTTTATAATATGAAACTGTTTTTTGGGGATAGGTGGTAGTCTGAATGTATGATCTCTGGATCACTAGCCAGGTTGACCACTGAATCAAATAATTAATTGGTGAAATATGTTGGGACAACAGGGAACTTTATATATGAAATTTTGGTGTGACAGATCACTTTCTGACACCTTTTATCATAATCTGATACCGTGTACAGGTAGCAAAAACCCTGGGCATCCCGTTGTTCGCTCTCTTTACACTCTTTTCTTTTCTTTTGGCCCCACCGGGTGACAAGCTTTTGGACATCTGTGCGGCCAGGCCTGCCAACGAACTCACAACAAAGAATTAAAGTGTGGCACAAGAGCCTGCCTTTTCCTTGAGATTCCTGGTTAGCGCACCGCTAACACTAGTAAACAACTGAAGCTGGCGTCTGCAGCTTTAAACACAAAGACTGCCAGCTGACTTTACAGGAGAGACACAATGGAAAGTTAACACGAGCCGTTAACTCTGCAAAACAAAGCAAGAGAGCAAAACACCTCTCCTCTTCACACATACACACACATACACCTCAATTCGGCTTTAAACCTCAGCCCACACATGAGGAGAGGAAAATCAAACCTTGCGGTCTTCACGTGTCCTTGGTCTCTGACCAACATGCGTTTCCTGCTCAGTTGAAAGTATGGTCAGAGAGACACACACACACACACAGACACAACTTTTCTTTTAATTCCTTTTTAGTTAGACTGTGTATTGTTTGTTTTCATCTGTTTTACTTTTATTATCTTTTTAATAAATACTTGTGTTTATACATGCTTGCCTATTTAATTTCACACAAGAGTGGGTGATACCAGCCTCTTCTATGCAGAACTCCAAATCCTTCCACTTTAACTATTAATAGTGATTTTGGTTATAGTTATTAATTTAATTATTAATCAGAGTTTCAAATGAATAGTTTAGTGTATTTTATGAGACTGAATCAATCAATTATTGGCTATTGTTTCCCTTGTTTAAGGGTGGAACCCCAAGGAACTAATATTAAGTATCTTTGATAATTCATCAATTT